GAGGACTTAGTAAGAAGCAACCAACTTTTGTTTGTATTTTCAAAAGAGCCTATAGATTTACACAATGAACTCATGAAAGATTTCAGCTGCCTCCTCACCAAAGCGCCTACAGCCCTCAAATGCTTAACAAAAGAGTTGAACTTCTGCACTTCAAATCGAACTCACAAAACCCGTCTTGATGGGGGCATGTTAGCTAAGGTAATCAGGCTCATTGCTGTGCCCTGGGGAATAAGAAGCTTTACTAGATCCATGCCACTGGCTCCTCTAAAATCGTTTTATTAATCTAACTGTTCACTAAACACAGTGCTCAGCCGAGACACAGGGAACAAGACCATTTCCTGCCTCTGCCCAAGAGAGTGCAGGTCGGTATCCCAGGCTCGCAGGAAATTACTCAAATCAGTGATCAGCAGACTGATGCAGGATGATCTGTCTTCTCTGCTTCAACTGCAGCAGTTAAACACTCCTTAAGAGAAAGATGGAGAAGCAGCACAACTCTTTTGCAGGTACTCACCTAGGCAAAAGAAAATGGGGAATACCTTCTGTGTTATAGTAAATGAAGATACAGTCTATACTAAAACTATATTAGATAAAGTGACTACACAGGTAACATTTTAAGACCTGGTATGCAGGTGAACTTCCTCAGAAGGGCAGAGGAATTAAATCCAGGCGTCTCACATCTTTAGCTAACGCTAGCCACTGAAATACAGAATGGGGGTGGGAAAACCACTGCCTTTTCCTTTCCTTATGGCTCTGATTTGTAAAGACAAATATTCTCACTCACAGCTCTGTCCAGGAAAAAGCACTTGTCTTGCACATGCTGGGTGAGAGCTACTGATCAGTTGGTAACCAAGACATGAACATGATGCTGTTAAGTCCCATTGCCGTGTATAAAGAAACATTTGAGCAGACAATTTGGTACTGAAAACAGAACTGCCAGCTGCCATTTCATCAGAATAGTGGTATCAGGTTCCCACAGTGGGAATGAGTTTAGGAAGGAAACAAACAAACAAACAAAAGTAGGATGCTCCACGAATTGGTAATTGTGTTATTTCCTTTCTCTAGGGCACCTTTAACCAGCTGCATCCCAAATGAAGGTTGACTCAAGTTGTAAAACTCACGGAATAGGTTTTTCTTTTAAGATCTGCCAAACAACCTTCTCAGCTGTCTTAGAACGTGTCTCAACTGGAAATAAACTCCTATTGCTTTCCTCCATCTATGTCTTAACAAATTTAATTCTAACATCATCCACTAGGTTCCCATTTCTGCGTTTTGCCATCTGGATCTCATCTTTATAAATACAAGTTATACTCACCCACTTGGCTCACTCCATCTGTAGAGACTTGTTAAATGGCTTTAAAGATGATTTACTAAAAAAGCTAAAGATCTAGCCTGAGAAGAGATTAATTTAAGTAGAGAACTTACTTTAATGTTAAAATTACGTTACCAAAAACTTCTGGCTTCCCACATTGATCAGCCAATTTCTGCCTTATTCACATTTCTTCTCTGGCTCTATATGCCTGTACTAGCACATTAATTACTCAGAAGGCACCCAAGTTCAAAGCAATGATCTAGTCACAAGCTGTGAACATCTGAAATACAAACATGTAGTGTCATTAGAAAGAAAAAGAGTCCCAACACTCGATGCTTTGTTTCTGAAGCAGTATGGGACACACCAATTGAGCCCACAAGAGTTAAAGGTTAAATTAAACTGGTTTTCTTTTGCTTACTGAAACAGTACCAAGCTCCAATAAAGTAAGATGAATCTGAATGGATTTACTCAGTTATTTTGGTCATATTTTTAAATGGTATTAGAAGTTTGTACTTAAATTCCAAACTCCTTTCTAAGTTTAAAAGAAGAAAATCCCTAAAGAGTTACAGTAGGAACATAAACAGCATGCCAACTAATTGCTCCTGTCTCCTCTGGATCAGCACAGCACAAAGCCACCTTCTTTCTAGCGATGTTCTCGTACCTTCAGTAGCTCAAGTGATATAGATCCATACTTAGCACTGAAATTTTGCAATTTATTGCTCAAAATGATGTGCAGGATTGTATCTTTAAACATGTTTTTTTCCTTCAATCTGTAAGAAAGAAACAGGAGAAAACCTATGTAAAAGAAAAAAGACAAGAGACAGCTCTGAGCTTGTTCCTCTTACGAGTACATGCCACCTATCTCCTTAACATCTTCACATGATACATAAACACCCCTAAAGATACCAGGACTGAAAAATTAGGGATGAATGAAAACAGCTGTATTCCTTTCCGATCTCTTCATCTATACTAGATGAAACTGATACAACATATCAGCTCAGGGCTCTGTATACCCTAGAACCTGCTACTCTAACTCTGTCCCAACAACATGCACAGTTATTCAAAAGGAAACTCTCTTTAATCCTCAAAGATTCTATAAAGTACTTCAAACTCCACGCAGCAATCAACAGGTACATCCTGGAGCTGTAGTGCCATAACCATTGTAGGGATGCCCTTTTGGCATATGAACCCCGACCAGTGCTCCAGTATCAATTTGAAAAGGGATTATTTTTAAGTGTAGTAAAAAGGGGCCAGTTAGTCAAAAACTTACCTGGATTCCTTCTGAAACATGCTGTCAAGCAACTGTGCTGATTTTGGCTATTAAAGTTTTTGTTTGACTAGAGATTTAACAGCAGGCCCACTGTCTTCAAGGACTAATATTGCCTCTGGCTGCTTCTCAATACCAACCAGCAGTCCAACTTTTCCTGGGCTAAACTTTCATCTCTTTGTCCAACCTGAGCTAGGCACAACCTGGGACACAGAGCCACATCATCATCGTCAAATAGGCTAGGCAAGTCACGCAGTCCTCACTGCAGCTACCTGCAGACTGAAGGAAAACTCTTCTAAGTTCTCAAACATCCCAAAAGTGACCTCAGAACTCTGAGATTTGAGACCCCTTTAAAGCATATATCCAACAGATTTCCAACCTCATGTCACAATGTGTCTCCTGATTAGGTGGCATTTCACTCACAAGACAAGCTGGAAGAACAAAGATGCAAACTGGGGCCTCACTGTTTTCTAAGCAAGCCATGAAACGCAGACCTTTATAATTGCTTCTCCTGTATCAGGGGAACAAAACCAAACTCTGTATCCACTGTATTTGCAATTATTGACACTACAAAAACAATCAGAAGAACTGGGTTTGGCTTAGTAATAATTTCTGTTCTCCCCATAACCTTATTTCAACTGCTCTGTGCTATTCTCTGACCTTGTAAAAAGCCAACTTGCCAAAAGCCCACCACTTTCCCATCTGAATGCACGTGTCACCAAAATGAATTGCCACCTTGCATTAGCAGTTCAAACAGCCTCCCGATAGGAACTGCAGGATGAGCAGAAAACAGTGCAAACCTCAAAATGATGCATTAGCTCTAAAATGCTACCAATGTCACTTGTCAAGGACTGCAATCAGAGTTGGGCCAAGGCAATGTTAGCTCAGCTGCCTCTGAACACACCTGCTTCAATTTAATTTGTAGTAATTAGGAAGCCTGGGGCACCAGGAAAAAGTGCTGCTCAGTTACCGTTTCAAATAGCTGAGTTTTCATGTGCCATTTAAAACCCTATTTCTCAGAACAGCCTGCTGACTCGCTAATGCTAGCAAAATGAAATAAAGCAAAGTATTTTTAGCAGCAGGAAGTTGTTACTTGCTACTGCCAATTACATGCCTTCTGCTTGAACAGTGACATTTTTTTCCCCTTTGCTTATTCTTCAAGATAGGTAAAAGCTGGCTTAGGTGCTTGAGGATCTAAATAAAACTTAGTCCACCGGAGCTGGCTGATGCTTCTGGAGTTGTAGCCAGTACAGACAGCAATCTGCTGTGACAGGGCAAACAGTGTCCTAGATCCACTCTTCAGGGAAGGGAGAGGGAGAAGATTAAGCAAGAGATTTGGATCTATTGGCTTTGGCAAAAGGTTGAATACCTTGTCATGCTAAAAAAATTGATAAATCTGGGGAGGAGAAAGGGGGGGGCAATAAAAAAAAAAACACATTAGAATTACATAAGAAGAGATATTTATACCCTGAATTAATTTATCAAACTGACACAGTGATGAATCATCCACCACTAAAATAACAGGATACAAGTTTTCTTTATATCACAATCATTATTTACAACTCTTAAATATTCACAGAGGAGTCAAGTATCCTCATCTTTTAGTTTTAAATGTGATCTTGCATGCCAAAATAAATCTGTTGGCAAAAATAGGTTCCTACAGGAACAGTGCCCAAGAATGATTTCTTCAAAAACAGGATAGAAGTTCACAATCATGATGGCACTTTATCCTTTTGTAACCTACACTATAAACCACACAGGGCTCAAGCAACTTGCATAAAGCTAGATCTCCAAGTAAGAAAATAAGAATGGGTAGTAACTACAGCCTGTGGTATAGTAGACACAGCTACTTGTGGCTTTTAACACTAACTTTGGTTAGTTTTGAGGTGACATACAGCTCTGCTTTGATGCAGGTTCATTCCCACATGCTTAAGAATCCAACTGAAGCCGACACGGTTCCTCTCAGCGAACTAACTTGAACACAAGCAGGCACTTCTACAAGTAAAAGTCTGTTATTTTAATAACAGACTTTAGCAACATTTTTGGCTCCAATGATATTAGAAAGACACCCATACTGTGTATTTTCCATCTTAGAACACACACCAAACAAGAAAAAAAGGTATCTGGGAAATTCAGATCAATGCTCCCTGAATACTATTTTGATTATTTAGGAATGGCTTTAATACTATCAGTCATTATTTTCCATAGACTGACATGAATGTGTATTTCAAAACTGGATGAGAAAAGAGAAAGAGAAATCCATATGATATAATGAGTGTAATGAGTGTTAACAGCACCATCATTTCACCACTTAAGTGAACCTTATGGAATGTAACAGTGTCTGCCTGAAGCTGTGCTTATATAAGGTATATGGGATACCCATATACATGCCATGCATGGTCTTAAAACCACAAAAATCAGAAAGTATATGAAAGCTGCATCTTATTTATTCATTTGTGTTTGCGGCTTCAACAGGTAATTTCTTTACAATCCAGGTTTTTAGCTTTTCGATTTCAGTTCTGCTTAACTCATGATTAAGGTTTGGAAAAGTATGAAGTGACGTTGATACTCCCAGTGACTTTAACATCTTGTTGGTCTCTTCCCCCCATGAGTAGAGAACAAGGTCATCAGCAGTTCCATGACACTGAAATAACTCTGGAAGAACACCTGCATTTCTTTCCAAAGCCTAGATAGAAAAGAAACAGTCAGACACATCACTAAAAAAATTTAGAAGAATAGTTACAATTACATGGTGAAAATTTACATAGCATTTCATTTATTAATCTACATTTTAGTAGTCATATTGTATTATCTCTACAAAAGCAAACAAGGAAATACTGGGAATAAACTGCACTTCCATGTGCAATTCCAATGTGCTAAGTCTTGGCAAGTAATGGGGTTTAAGGTTTATATCCCTCTCCAATAAGAGAAATAGAAAAAAAATTCATGACAGCAGATGGAGCCCAGGAGTACTATAATTCATCACAATTTTCAAAGAATAGTTACACTTACATGGACTCTCCAACAACTAAGAGCAACTCAGAAGGCATTTAATTTGTTCATCTGCCTTCTACACTAACTTACTATGAATAAAATAATTGCACTGTCTGTGCAAAAAAAAGCAACAAAACATCATGTACGAACAGCTTTTAAGCCTCACTTTCCTAATACTCTATTTCCAGGAAATGCCACAGATTGAGAATATTAATCAATTGCTTCATGTGAATAAACATGCTGTACTCGATTATCCTCTTTTAATTTAGCTAAGCAGTTTTTCTATGAAGACTACCACACACTCACCTGGTAAACTGCAGAGTCTTTATTGAGAAAACTAGACAAAGCGAAGACTCCTGCCAGATCTTGATGAAACCTATATGCTAAATGCATTGCCATTCCACCTCCCATGGAAAAGCCTCCTAGGATGCAACAAAAGAAACAAAGATTGGATTTTGTTATATGACTTTGTAACCCAGCATCCATTTTATCTTCAGGCTTCTTTTATACACCGTGCAATCAGAAACCATCCTGAGTAACAAAAAAGTTGCAGTGATTTTAAATCAAAGCATGATTCAATTAAGAAGTTGCATAGCTAAAGCACTGCTGAAGATTAGTTACAGTATGTACCTCTACAGTCCCTGTCAGGTAGTTAAACACCATGGTCATATGTTCCCTGACCTTAAAGCAAATCTCTGAACAGATAATTCTCACTGCTTTTTTATTCAACTTCATTTTCCCCTAGGCTAGTAGCATGCACACAAGAGGTCTGTATCACTATTGTACATAATCAATGAACATTCACCACAGTAGACGTAGTACACAGAGGCTGAAGGCTTTTTTTTGTTGTTACACCTTAGAATATATAATAAATGGGGGGAAAAAAAAAATGCAGTGTACCCCACCTGAGCTCTAACAGGATCTGAGTTAATGGCCTTCTGTGCTCCATATGTCTCTTCAGCTGCACTAATTCCTTATGCGAAAATTCCTCAGGGATGATTTTTACATGACAAATGATTATTCATTAGGAAATAAATCCAGACTACTGCATTACTTCACAAGGACACAGTACATAGGCTATTATATTGACTGTTTCAGATAATTACTAGGGTGAAGAGTGACTGGCTGCTGAAACCTCTTCTAGCACAGAGATGGCAACCAGCAGAAAGGCTATGACTGCAGCTCCACTTAGGGGGCATTAGCACCCATGGTACTGGTGAGACAAGGGGTTTGTGCCAGGCAGTTAACTGGTGCTAATTAGTCGTAAGATTCTGAGCTCAGACCTTTTCACACAAGAGACATGAGATTGGGGATTGAAGAAGAAATGCAAAAATAGCAGACAAAATACCAAACCATTTCATCTTATTTTTTTGGAAGAGATTAAAGTGAGACTCCATACCGGGAACAGCTCTTTTGCAAGGGCTATGTAATCCCTCTGCGGCTGACTTCTGTGCTATGCTGAAGTTTGACACAGGTGCTAAACAAAACCCAGCCAGGAAGAGTGTCCCGTACCGAAACTGAGCCCAGTGACACCCTGTAACTTTGGTAGTTCACTGGATCCTGGGACTACACAGGAAATCTCTGGCACACACCAGCTCAGAGGCAGGAAAAGCTGCATGTGGGAATGCTGCACCCGCTTAGCTGGGTCATGGTTAGACTGTTCCTAATGGGGAATCCTCTTCTGGCATGTTTATCTGCAAGCCCCAGCAGGTCTGAAGCCCATCTAGCTCACACTCCATCCCACGTTACGACTGGAAGAGTTGGCTTGGATTTGTGTAGGAAACATTCCTGAAAACACTAGACTAACCCAGACACGAAGTAGTGTTGTTTTGTTTGGGTTCCCCCGCCCCCCTTTCTCCCACACACTATTTTTTGATTTCTGATGAATTTCTGATCAGAATCTCTATTGAATTTCTGATTCTTCTTTCTACTTACTGTCACTTTGTAATCTTAGGAGATGATCATGGTCAGAAGTGGTAACTGTAGGTTCCTAAACGTGGATCTTAGGGAGAAAGAGCAAGACCACACAACATGGAAGAATGGAGTTTTGCTTTCCTTTTTCAAACACAGTCCTTAATCGGATTGAGAGAGTTGGATCCTCAAACTAGGAGATACACCTGGTACCCCCTAACTATGCACCCAGGGAGCTGATAATACTCTGGTATTTATCTTTGGTAAATAAAGTCAGGACCTGCTATTTTCCATATGAATCAATCTTTAACCAGTTGAAAGTTAAGTGTAGTATGTCGAAGTGCTCACTGGCAGTACAGAAACAAGGGTAGTTGAGGAAAAGTAGGGTAGCTGAGGAAAAATAGGAGTGAATGTGGGTAAACAAGTTCAGAGCACATCTTAAGAACTCACACACAGCTCACACCTGACACTTCTGAATAAACTTGTCTTCACAAAAATGAAAATATTGAAGATACCACTGCAAGCCTTCCATCTGCATCACCATTTCCTATCAGACACATCCTCTTGTCACATGTAAGAATTCTACAGTGAAAAAACCAGAAGTGATATACTGCACTTGTAATTACTGCCACTGTAACCACAAAAATTCATCACTGACCCCATTCACAGATAGAGAAAAATACAGCCGTCTGAGAAAGTATATACAATACAACAACTATGCAAATTCACTATGTAAACAACATCATCTTGTGCTGAAGTTTCCTTTATTCTCTCCTGTGGAATTTGATCATTTACTTCCTCATTTCCTTTTGATCATTGTGAATGATGCCGTCATCCCCAATCCCAAAGTAGAACTTATACTCTTAAGACACCATTTTGCATTTGCTTACAAATAAATACAGAAATACTTTACCCACATATAAACTGAAGTCCCTTTTAAGTATTCCAGAAGACAGGAAAAAAAGCTGCATTGAAAACTCATTACTAGTTTGTAAATGATTTAATCTAAAATTTTGTACCCACTTAGTCACAATCTGGCAACATTATGTGCAATTACTCACCAGCAGTCTTTGACAATGCAGTCACCTTCTGTTTAGAAGAATATTAGGTAATGGTTCTTTTATGTGGCACATACTACTACAAGAAAATGTAATACAAAGGACTAGTTCTTTGAGTTTGGTTTTCCAGGGGAAAACCTGAAGTTCATCACTTGATACCACAACAATCTCTTGAGAAAATGCCGTATAGTAAATGCTTCAGAAACAATCCTTTGAGTAAACATTTGTAGTTGCAGGCAAACTTTTTCAGTTACAAAAAGCATTTCAGTATAAGCATGAAGATAACACATAAAAGTCAAGAACTCTTATAAAAATTCAAATTTTGGAGCAAGGAAAAATAAGAGGCAGGTACAGATATTGCACAAATGTATGAAGTGACAGAACATAAGCAAAACACAAAAGAAAAGTACAAGTAGGCTTGTGTACACCAATGATCTCAGCATAAGGAATACATAAACCTCACAGCACTGTTAAGCAGATTGTGTCAGTGTTAAGATCAAAATGACACAGCATCTTTTCAATCTTAGATGGGCAGAACACAGCAAGCCCTGTACTTGAGACCAGTCTAATTCCAAGAAGTACAAAGGGTGTGCACAAAAGTTCAGAATTGCCATTTGCCCCCTTACATCCATTTTTAAAAAGATCTGTGATTAATGCTTCTGAATAGTGATGAAGTGTTGGCTCCTCAGTGCTCAGGATACAAGTCCAGAAAAGCATCTATTTGCACTAACTTTCCTGCCTTAGAAAGGATACCTGGGCACAGGCTAAAAGGTCAGCACTAAGCACATACAGAACAGACTCAATTAAAGCACTTTTCTTTCAGCTGCAAGGAAACTTTGCTCAAGTACGCATTTATGACCTCAAATCTACTTCTCTGTAGTGCTGATTTCCAGGCAACACCCCTCTGCAGTGAGAATTAAGCTGCTAGTTGGCAAAGATCTGCTGAAATCACAGGATGACACTTCAGCCTTTATCAAGTTCAGGAAACCAAATACTTACCTACTCTTAAATTTCAGCTTTATTCTTAATTTCTTAATTAATTTCTTTGCATTTGGTCTAACAATGTTTGGGTTTGTATATCAGAAAATTACTAACTTTATTATCTAGCATAAATGTTTATTTTCTGTCTCTCTCATGTCCTGTATGTATCAGGAAATGCTAAAACCTCTGCCTTCTCCCCCATGCTCCACTTCAGTGCCTGCAACAACCCATTCCTGAGTTCAGAAAGCTCTTTAGGTTTCCATTCTTCTTTACAGAAAACACCACCTCTCTAACAAGCACAGGTTTAACACTGCTGATTCCTTCCTGAGTCATACAGATCCAACTGTAAATGCCTTATTCAATTTGTTATAGATAATGTTTATGGACTTGGGAAACAACAAACCAGGCAATTTCTTTGGTCTTTCCAGAGTAATTCTAAAATGTGACCATACTAGAAATTACAGCCATAAGAAACAAATTTTAGTTATTAATTCCATTTAGTGCATGAATTCATAGAATTATAGAAAGGTTTGGGTTGGAGAGGACCTTAAGATCACCTAGTTTCAACTCCCTGCCAGTTCTGCCAAGTACAGATCTTCTGCTCCTTGCAGAGACAAACTGAGTTCTTCTCACATGAATTTGAGTGGCAGAGGTAGAAACTCTTTCATTACAGCACAGAAGCAAAAGAGGGAGAGGAGCTAAGCCCCAGATTTTGATAAGGGTTAGGTTTTGAGGTGTTTTAATTTAGGCAGTATTTCTTCACTATTTTCTCTGCAGTAGATAGTAGTTGTTCTTCATCTTCCCTTTATTTCTTCAAGTTTGTCAGTACAGCTTTAGTAACAAAGTGGCAAGAGATGAATGCTACAGCACAGAGTGCGTGTGCCAGCATCATGCAAGGCTAGACAAACACTCTTCTGTTGTGCGAGGCTACACAAGCAGTTAGAAACTGCCTTTGCCTGTTTTGTTATCATGATGATACATTACATACTCTTGCCTCATTTTCTTTCCATTCTTCCAGCACTTCTGACTCTCAGCTTCTCCTTTCTTTAAGTATTTCAACATAGTTACCTTAATCACTTTGTTATCTGAATTTTTTCCCTATACTTACATTTCAGTTTACTTTCTGCTGTCCCTAGGGACTTTCTGTGACCTACCTTCTATTAATGGTAACAGCAAAACCTTGCCCTACACATCATCTGCAAAGAAGCTGACTTTCTGTTTTGACCTTTTTTCATAAACAAATGGAAGTATTATATACCTTTAACAGTGTTCATATATGAATATAAGCAAAGAGTACAAATGTCAGGGGATCAGCTAATTCCCTCCTGCACGGAACTCCCTGAACAAAGCTCCTGTGTAAATGTTCAAACATGTACTTTGTCTCCAGTGAATTTCCTCACAGCAGCAATTTTCTCCTTTTAATCTATTCATGGAACCTCACTAAACACTAACCTTAAACAGTAGCAGAACTC